TGCTGGGATTTCCAATTTCAAATCTCAGCACAGAGACTGGCTATCCTGACTAAGGATTTTCATGGTTTTGCTCAGTGACTTTAGGCAAATTTTAGGACAGTGCCTTAAATTAGGCAACTGCTTCCTTCCATGCATTCCAATTCATTATTCAATAATAATTCTATAACTTGACATTCTATAGTCAGAGTTACTGCCAGTAAATCTGACTATACAATGTCAGAGTTACTGGCAGTAACTCTGACTATAGAATGACAGAGTTACTGCCAGTAACTCTGACTATAGAATGACAGTTACTGCCAGTAACTCTGACTATAGAATGACAGTTACTGCCAGTAACTCTGACTATAGAATGACAGTTACTGCCAGTAACTCTGACTATAGAATGACAGAGTTACTGTCGGTAACTCTGACTATAGAATGTCAGAGTTACTGCCAGTAGCACTAAATAAGTAAATTGAGACTTGCTAACAGCTGAATACTTGAAATAAACCTTTCTAATCTACCTAACTACTTAGTTAACCTAACTTGCACAAAAAAATAAAAATGTTTCTGTTTAAGGTTACTAGCAATGACTAAAACCACTCAAATTAGTCTAAAACAACTTGTCATCATGTTGTAAAACATTCCTCATGTAAATTCCAACTTACCTTGGGTTTTGAGACTTGACCATACTCAGGGTACGCCAAACTGGTTAACCATACAACACTTTATAGGGCAAAGGTAGTCATACGGTATGACAAATGAGTCAACCACAGTGAATCCTAAACTTATTCATGAACTACAAGGGACTCCCATGCATTACTTTTAGTAAATTTAGTATAATAAGCAGTGAACATATGAATTGTGATTTATTCATCAGCAGAGTGATGGACTACAGTCTGTAGATCCAAAGTTAATTTCCTGGCAGATGTATTGGGATTCTTCACCACTGCATATAGAAGCACTCTGGAGCACACAGTGATACTGAGGTTCTGTACTTAAAGCAAAAGGTAGCCAGGATATAAAACTGATAATATTCTAGTGGCAATGCTGCAGGAAATATAAAATTAAAATTCCAAGTAGATTGTCTATTTTTTCACAGAGCAGTAACTGCAAAGGCAGTCACAATCAGAGGTCTGTGAACATTCCTATTCAAAAGCAATCACATAACTGAAAATGCATCGTATCTGCTTCTGACAATTGGTATGTTTGCCAGCCGGCATGCTTGGTCCTTTAACAACTTGTCACCTAATCTTGATGTAGCCTTGGTTTTTGTAATATAAAATCTGACCCTCATCAAAGAATGTCCACAGATGTTGAGATATTAATAACTGGTATTTATTTAACCACACTTCACACATCAATTCTTCTATATCGGTGCTTAATTCATAACCCTCACCTGATTAAAAACCACATTGGTGCCATCTTTACATTGGACAGACGTGTAAGAATTGCCAAACTGACAATTCATTAGCTGCAGAGAAGTTACAATTGGAGAAAAGTGTTGTATTAAAACACTATTGCTAAGTTCATCGTCATCCTGAAAGGAGAAAAAAAACTCCACTGAGAAAAAAGAAGCCAACTTTTGCATCAACATAAGTAACTTTCGTAGATCACAATACCTTTCCATCCGGCATGAATCCTTGTTCTCGACTTAACTTCCTGACATGCTTTGAAAATTTTTTGTTGTATTTGGCATACAGAACATCGTTTAAATGGTCAAACACCAGAATGCATTTCATCACTTCCAAATAAACACAAAATTCAAAAGTATTGACTGTAAAAGATCATTCACGCGGTATATTAAATATCACTGCCACTTCGAAACGTCTGATTTACTACATAGCATTACTTGTACTGTAAACCTGTTTGTGAGATAAACTGATGACAACTAGAATCAACCTGATCAAACTAATATCAATCTGGTCTTGTTGTCGTCTGCTACATCCATGGATCATCAATACTTTGGCCATTGGCTACATGGAGTTTCACAGGAAGTTTACTACGTGCCTGGCGGTAACTTCAAACCTGCCAGAATACCACGCAAGTCACTCCTCTTGTCGGCAACAGATGCCGCCATGTGTCATACTCGTCTGGACCAGTGACAATGATTGCATCCTTTATAGATGTTGGTTAGCAACAAAAACAAAGTGATATTGTAAGATAATTTTTTTAATGCTTATAATTTAATTTGCTGCATTGAGTTGATTATTCATTTTTCCCACAATTATTTTTCTTACATTTGCCACACCGTCATCAGAATAACCACCACTGTCACTCAGATCAGGTTAATTTATTTCGGAATCAGGGTCACTGTACTCAATTATACGAATATCCGAATCCTCACTAATATCACTAAAAGAATCTGAGTCATCATGCAATTCTTCATGTATCTGTTTGCTGTCCAACGCATGCCAACTGCTAGACGTCATCGGGGTATAACTACTATAAAAAAATATGGACACTTCGCAACATCTACTTTTGTCCCACAAAGTATTACCAGGAAAACGTGGATAGCACTAAAGTACATAGTCCCTGGTCCAATACGCCGATCGTTGCATGATGATTGTTCATACAAGTAAATGGACCCCTTTGAAGCAATGGGACACCCCCCCCCCCCCCCCACACGACCACAAATTAAGACCTGGTTGTTGCATCACTGGTCTGCTGTAGGGGAAAACCATTATTATGTCAGCGATTAAAGAATCTGAGCGGCGTAAACACGAACTGTCATCGTTTGAATTGATCCTGGTTCCTACCGTGTTCATCGTATCTTCTTCTAAGTCAATGAAATGTTTAAATCGATTGCATTAAACAATTTCATGTGTTTTATAATGCGAAGCTTGTTTCTAGTAAAGAGAGAGCCTCACGAGAAAGAATGTTCTTTCCTGCAGATCGCTGTCTTCTGGATGCCAAGTTGGTACTACACAAATGTAAAATTTCCTAACTGTTCTTATATTTGGCCCCTTGTTGCTCTGAGCTCGATAGCTAACTCCCATGGCGATAATCAGCCACGTGAGTGTGTGTGTAATGGGTGGGGAGTCGGAGGGATGGGGAGGCAGTAAAGCGTTCTGTCATTCTGGCAGCACGAAGTACATGCGCTAGTGTGGCTGTTGGCGAGCGCTATGGTCTTCGTCCTTGATATAAACACACATTTCCTGCTTACACTCGCAGCTCACTAGGATCTGGCAGGGGACAATGGAATACAGGTTCTATGTTTAGGAAACCACTTGCCAGATAGAGCTTTTGTAAACGAGAAGAAGTAGAATATTTTTTGTATCGCGTCGACATTATGTGACAGTGTAAAAAGTGAATGCAGTGCTTCAAGAACACACCCAACATAACCTAACCTAACCTGAACCACATCTGCAGGCAGTCCGAAAGGAACAGGTAAAATGCTCTTTATTGCTTTTGACGTAAATACGTCTATATTTTAGGGTCAGTGTCATTCGGCAAAAAGTGGAACGAAAAAGTGTAACTTCCTTGTTATGTTACCTTGGAAACGTCACCTGTTTACTCAGCATTGTTGTTACCTATAAAACATCACATTACCTTACATTACATTACTTTACATTACATTCAGCTACTACAGACCCATTTCAAGCGTAACTAATTGAAGTTGAATAAGCAATGTCTTAATCAAACTTACCTCAATTGTAAAGCATGTATAAAGGAAATATTTAGATTAATGCCAATATATAAACTTCCTTTCCGTATAGACGTATTTACGTCAAATTCTCCGGAACCGTGGTTCCACTATCACTTTTTGTATTTGCATTGAATATGTTGAAGCTTGTAAGGAAAAACGTGAAAGATAACCCGTACTATTTTCAAGCAGACGCAGAGTGACTTGTTTTGTATGCCTGTCTTATTAACTAAGAATTAATTGCACCTGTCGGCTTTACCACAAGGAATTGTATGTACATATTTTAATGAGTGGTATGTGAACCCCAGAACGATTCCGGACGTGGTGGAAAGTGAAATATGGCAACACCATCCAGTCCGTTCCACTGTCGCTTTGCTCACTGTTGTTGGGCTCATGCCAGACGTGTCCTGGTTTGTAACAGAACGTTCTCCGGTTCTCTAATGAAAACGTATAATAATGAGTTTTGAGGTCACCGAATTGGGTCCCACGAATCGACCTCCAACACGTCTCTCTGGAACTGATTAGCAGAGACTCCTGCTGCGTATTCATTCTGCGCACAGTTGCGCTGGTAGTGACATCTGGTGCCGATAAGAGCTACTTTGGGCTGCCTCTTGTATGCTTGAAGTCTGGAATGGTCACTGACTGGAAACACGTGTTTCAAGGTAAAGGCTTCCCCCAGAACCACACCCGATTATGGACTCTCCGCACTTCGTAAGCTTCAGCGGTCAGGCTGGCAACTAGACGCGGAAAAATGAGCTGAGAATTGAAACTTAAACGCTGGAAGAAGGAGATTTTATATTAGCTGCAGAAATTCTGAAATGTTTTTATGTAAGATTGTATTTTTGCACGAATTAATTAATGGAATTCAGCCACATTGGAAACCGAGATTTAAATGTTGTATGAGTTGGCGTTTCCGTATCGATATAACCTTCTGAACCCTGTGACGTGGAATACCATTTAGAACAGTCTTCCGCTTGTCTCCAGTGTTCAACAACTCAAAATGTCCTCTATCAGAAGCAAGCCACGCTATCTTATCAGTGCGTGGGACATTTGTGCTATCTACTCGTCACAGCTCTCGGCAATGTTTATTAATATAAATCCAGATTGTTGGGTTTCTGCACTCTGTACCTCGCCCTGTGTTATAAAAATTACACAACGTTTCGAGGACTATTTGTCCTCGTCTGGAGATCGAGAAGGGCACACGTACTCTGTGGGCTCGGGTACAATGAGCTCTTATGAATCACTGGACAATCTAAGTACTAATCAACGAGCCAACCAACCGAAAAGCTAACTACGGGCGGAGTCCTAAGCTAGCACAAGACATCTTCCCTTACCAGTAACACGTGATTGGGGGAGGGCGAACTGCGCCCATTTTGAATTACGTCCTGGCATTTGCCTTACAGTTGAGGAAAAGCACGGAAAATCTCAAGGTCGTTGGTTAGTTAAACCACTCGTTGCTCACTGCTCTGATGCGGTCGTATCGTGAATTTGCCTGTTACGTTACTTGTGGGTTATCGGGACACATCGCTTTAAAAATAGGTTATGTTAGGTCAGGTTAATGTGTGTGTGGGAAAAATGACATATACTTGAAAGTTGGAGTCAAACATCTGGAGTTGGATTGGCACGGAAAACTGCGCATGCGTATCAGTATACCTATTTTTAAAGCGATGTGTCCCGATAACCCACAAGTACCCCTGTTACTAACGTACCGAGGCGGGCACTTTAGGAGTGTCTGCTGACCCCCAGACAGGACGGATGAGCTGTTTGTAGAGCAGCACACCGTATATGACGGATAGGCCACTTTTCCTATTAAGGAGGGGACCTAGCACGCCCAATCGTTAAGCAGTCTTCTTTCCCACGTGACTGACGTCCACCGACCAGGTAAGCCCGGTGTCAAGGGGTCAGATCCTCTGTATTCTCTGGTAACCAGCCTTATGTAGTTAGAGGAGCACTGTCTCGACTCTTATTTCAGTAAAAGACTTTTTATGAATAGTAACTTGTTGACCTTGGAGTGTTTATCACTGAAATCTTAATCTTACGTGACGTTAGGACAGTGTATGATGTCGCGTTATGGTATTATCAGATCTTATCTAGCAATGAAAGGCAGGAAACTGCGATAAGATGAGCAGTGAAGAGTTGTTTCTCAGACGAGACAGTAAATCAGTCCCGTTCGTCCGGTGTTAAAGCAGACGAACGTTTCATTATTACACCCGTCTTCTGAAGAACGTGGGGGAGGTTAGGCAACGAAGTTATAGTCAGCGCAGTAGTTCTTAGCCGGTGGCGAAGCTGGCGGACGGGCCTACTCTGTGTACCTGAAGTGGCACGGTCAGCGTATTTCTTTTGTTTGGGCGTTCAGTCCGAGACTCGCTCCTCGGCGCAGTCAGCATTATACTATCGCGAAAGAGACTCGCTCCTAGCCTTCCCCTTGAAAATTCCACCGGCCAAAAACTACTGCGCCGACTATACAACTGCTGATAGGGCCTTCGGTAAAGAAACATATGAAGTGAAAAGGACGATATCTTCTGCGGTAAGATATGGCTAGATGGCCCCCCCCCCCCCCCACACGACCACAAATTAAGACCTGGTTGTTGCATCACTGGTCTGCTGTAGGGGAAAACCATTATTATGTCAGCGATTAAAGAATCTGAGCGGCGTAAACACGAACTGTCATCGTTTGAATTGATCCTGGTTCCTACCGTGTTCATCGTATCTTCTTCTAAGTCAATGAAATGTTTAAATCGATTGCATTAAACAATTTCATGTGTTTTATAATGCGAAGCTTGTTTCTAGTAAAGAGAGAGCCTCACGAGAAAGAATGTTCTTTCCTGCAGATCGCTGTCTTCTGGATGCCAAGTTGGTACTACACAAATGTAAAATTTCCTAACTGTTCTTATATTTGGCCCCTTGTTGCTCTGAGCTCGATAGCTAACTCCCATGGCGATAATCAGCCACGTGAGTGTGTGTGTAATGGGTGGGGAGTCGGAGGGATGGGGAGGCAGTAAAGCGTTCTGTCATTCTGGCAGCACGAAGTACATGCGCTAGTGTGGCTGTTGGCGAGCGCTATGGTCTTCGTCCTTGATATAAACACACATTTCCTGCTTACACTCGCAGCTCACTAGGATCTGGCAGGGGACAATGGAATACAGGTTCTATGTTTAGGAAACCACTTGCCAGATAGAGCTTTTGTAAACGAGAAGAAGTAGAATATTTTTTGTATCGCGTCGACATTATGTGACAGTGTAAAAAGTGAATGCAGTGCTTCAAGAACACACCCAACATAACCTAACCTAACCTGAACCACATCTGCAGGCAGTCCGAAAGGAACAGGTAAAATGCTCTTTATTGCTTTTGACGTAAATACGTCTATATTTTAGGGTCAGTGTCATTCGGCAAAAAGTGGAACGAAAAAGTGTAACTTCCTTGTTATGTTACCTTGGAAACGTCACCTGTTTACTCAGCATTGTTGTTACCTATAAAACATCACATTACCTTACATTACATTACTTTACATTACATTCAGCTACTACAGACCCATTTCAAGCGTAACTAATTGAAGTTGAATAAGCAATGTCTTAATCAAACTTACCTCAATTGTAAAGCATGTATAAAGGAAATATTTAGATTAATGCCAATATATAAACTTCCTTTCCGTATAGACGTATTTACGTCAAATTCTCCGGAACCGTGGTTCCACTATCACTTTTTGTATTTGCATTGAATATGTTGAAGCTTGTAAGGAAAAACGTGAAAGATAACCCGTACTATTTTCAAGCAGACGCAGAGTGACTTGTTTTGTATGCCTGTCTTATTAACTAAGAATTAATTGCACCTGTCGGCTTTACCACAAGGAATTGTATGTACATATTTTAATGAGTGGTATGTGAACCCCAGAACGATTCCGGACGTGGTGGAAAGTGAAATATGGCAACACCATCCAGTCCGTTCCACTGTCGCTTTGCTCACTGTTGTTGGGCTCATGCCAGACGTGTCCTGGTTTGTAACAGAACGTTCTCCGGTTCTCTAATGAAAACGTATAATAATGAGTTTTGAGGTCACCGAATTGGGTCCCACGAATCGACCTCCAACACGTCTCTCTGGAACTGATTAGCAGAGACTCCTGCTGCGTATTCATTCTGCGCACAGTTGCGCTGGTAGTGACATCTGGTGCCGATAAGAGCTACTTTGGGCTGCCTCTTGTATGCTTGAAGTCTGGAATGGTCACTGACTGGAAACACGTGTTTCAAGGTAAAGGCTTCCCCCAGAACCACACCCGATTATGGACTCTCCGCACTTCGTAAGCTTCAGCGGTCAGGCTGGCAACTAGACGCGGAAAAATGAGCTGAGAATTGAAACTTAAACGCTGGAAGAAGGAGATTTTATATTAGCTGCAGAAATTCTGAAATGTTTTTATGTAAGATTGTATTTTTGCACGAATTAATTAATGGAATTCAGCCACATTGGAAACCGAGATTTAAATGTTGTATGAGTTGGCGTTTCCGTATCGATATAACCTTCTGAACCCTGTGACGTGGAATACCATTTAGAACAGTCTTCCGCTTGTCTCCAGTGTTCAACAACTCAAAATGTCCTCTATCAGAAGCAAGCCACGCTATCTTATCAGTGCGTGGGACATTTGTGCTATCTACTCGTCACAGCTCTCGGCAATGTTTATTAATATAAATCCAGATTGTTGGGTTTCTGCACTCTGTACCTCGCCCTGTGTTATAAAAATTACACAACGTTT